GCTGCACATGATGAAACAGAAAGGCCATCCAGAGTTATTATGTAATCAGAAAGCTTACTTCTAACTGCATGTGGTCCTAGTACAAGTACTTCTGTCTTGTAAGAATTAAGTAAGAGAAAGTTAATAAGCATCCAGTGTTTAATGGCTTTGCTGAAACATACAACTGTGTGTCATCAGCATAACAGTGGAAGCTAATACCATGTTTACGAATCATTTTACACAGAGGTAGCATATATATAAAGAAAAAAGCAGTGGGCCTAAAACAGCACCTTGCAGTACACCAAATTTTACCTTAGTATGTGTAGAGAAATCACCATTTACAACTGATAATGATCAGTCAAATAAGACATGAACCAGGAGAGGGCCTTTCCCATGATGCCAACAATATTTTCTAGTCTATCAAGCAGAATAGTATGATCACTGGTGTCAAAAGCTGCACTAAGGTAAAGTAACACACGCAAGGACAAAAAACCCTGATCTGAGGCCAGTACTAGACCATGTACCTCTTTAACCAGCACTGTCTCTGTGCTACGATGAGGCCTAAATCCTGACTGATACATTTCATGAATGTTATTGAGCATAACTGCTGTGCTACAACCATTTCGAGGATCTTGTTTAATATTGGCCTATAGTTGGACAGTTGACAGGGGTTGAGGTCAGGTTTTTTTAATCACAAAAACCTGCCATTTTAACAGGGGTGTGTAGACTTTTTATATCCATTGCATGTTTCTGAGCTCGCCAGTGCATTCCAACTTTTTAAGAATTTACCAAACTGTTGATTTGGCCACTCCTAAAGTTTCTGCTATCTCTCTGATAGGTCTGTTTTGTTTTTTCAGCCTAATGATGGCCCCCTTCACTTGCATCAACACCTCTTTGGACTGCATATTGAGAGTTCCTAGCTATCAAATGCAAATTCGATACACTTGGAATCAAATCCAGACCTTTTATCTCCTTAGTTTGTTGTGAAATAACGAGGAAGCAGGCCACACCTGGCCATGAAACTGCTTATCATTCAATTGTCCAATTACTTTTGTGCCTGAGAAAATGAAGGGACTAAGCTGAAATTCTACACTTCAATCACATCTTGATTGCTTCATTTCAAATGCATTGTGGTGGTACAAAAAAATTGTCACTGTCCAAATGCTTATGGACCCAAATATATATATGAATTATTTTATATATATAATTATATATATATAATTAAGGGAACACTTAAATCACACATTGAAAGAAATATTCAAGTTGAAAATCTTTACTTATATACATTGTGTAATTTGTTGAGAACAAAATGATGTCACAATAGTCAATGGAGGCCAAAGTCATCAGCACATTGAGGGCTAGATTCAAAATCACATCGAAAATCAAAGTAAAAAATTTAAATTACAGGCTGATCCAACTTGCATGAATTTCATCACAGCAACTCATATTGTAAGTCAATAGTGTGTATGGCCCCCATGTGCCTGTATGCACTCCCGACAACGTCTGGGCATGCTCCTGATGAGATGGCGGATGATGTCCTGGGGGATCTCCTCCCAGACCTGGATGAGGGCATCAGTGAGCTCCTGGACAGTCTGTGGTGCTACTTGGCGGCTTCGGATGCGCCGATACATAACGTCCCAGAGGTTCTCAATTGGATTCAGGTCTGGGGAACATGAGGGCCAGTCAATGGCATCAATGCCTTCGTCATCCAGAAACTGCCTACACACTCTGGCCACATGAGGCCGGGCATTGTCATGCAACAGGATGAACCCAGGGGCCACTACATCAGCGTAAGGTCTGACAGTGGCTCTGAGGATTTCATCTTGGTACCTAACAGCAGTAAGGGTACCGTTGGCTAGCACGTGGAGGTCTGTGTGACCCTCCAAGGATATTCCTCCCCAGACCATCACTGACCCATCGCCAAACCGGTCATGCTGGATGATGTTGCAGGCAGCATAACGTTCTGATTCGTGAAGAGAACACCCACCACCTCACACCACCCCCATGGAGTCTGTTTCTGACAGCCTGCTGGAGGTCATTTCGTAGGGATCTGGCAGTGCTCCTCCTGTTCCTCCTCACACAAAGGAGTAGATACCAGTCCTGCTGCTGGGATATTGCCCTTCTACGGCCCTGTCCAGCTCTCCTCGTGTAACGGCCCCTCTCCCGGTATCTCCTCCATGCTCTTGAAACTGTGTTGGGAGACACACCAAACCTCCTTGCAAAGGCATGTATGGATGTGCCATTGTGGTGGAGCTGGACTACCTGTGGAACATGATTGGGTTGCAGGTACTGCCTCATGCTACAAGTAGTGACAGGGACCCTAACAAAACACAAAACTAGAGACAAATCAGTCAGGAAGGATAAGGAGAGAGCAATTGTCTGTGGCCACCACCTGCAAAACTATTCCCTTTCTGGGGGTTATCTTGCTGTTGCCTCTCCAGTGCACCTGTTGTCATTTGTACCAAAGCAGGTGAAACTGATTCACAATCACTTACGCTTCCTAACTGGATAGATTGATATCCCTGAAGTTTAATTGACTTGGTGTTATACTGTAATTATTAATTGTTCCCTTAATAATTTTTTTGAGCAGTATGTATATATACAGTACTGTGCAAAAGTCTTAGGCACATGAAAAGAAATGCTGTAGAGCAAAGATACCTTCAAAAATAATGAAACTAAATGTTTCTACATTAAAAAAAACTATAAAGAGCAGTAAACAGTAATAAACGAGACAAAGTCAATATTTGATGTGACAATCCTTCGCTTTAAAAAAAAATAGTAGTCTCAGGTACAATTTGTGCAGTTTTAGAAGGAAATTAGCTGGTAAGTTTTACTGACCATCTTGCAGAACCAGCCACAGTTCTTCTGGAGACTTTGACTGTCACACTCCCTGTTCTTGGCTGACAGGAGTGGAAAGATCCTCTGCTGTTGTAGCCCATCCACCTCAAGGTTCGATGTTTTTTGCATGCTGAGATGCTTTTCTGCTCACCACAGTTGTAAAGAGTGATTATATTAGTTACTATATCCTTCCTCAAAGTTCAATGGCCAATCTGGCCATTTTCCTCTTACCTCTCTTTTCAACAAGATGTTTCTACTCACGCCATTCATTCAGTATTTTTTGTTTTTCCACCATTCTGTGTGAACTCTAGAGAATGCGGTGTTTGTGAAATCCAGGAGATCAGCAGTTTATGAAATACCCAGACCAGCCCTTCTGGTACCAACATCCATACTATGATCAAAGTCACAGAGATCACACTTTTTCTTCATTTTGAAATTTGATGTGAACATTGACTGAAGCTTGTGCTGCTGCCACATGATTGGCTGATTAGATAACTGCATGAATGTGCAGGGGTACTGTGTGTGTGTATATGTATATATAGGGATGTTATAAGGCCTCCATCCACTAGGGGGAGCTGTAGTTTCTTTGTTCCTCATTGTTTGTCCTGAGCCCTTCATTAGAGTGCTGAAGCTGTTGAAATTTGTGTTCCCTGCCTGGTCTTCAGCCTTTTGAAGGTGGAGCCAAATAAAAGAGAGAGCTGCCCTGTTTCAGGGCATGCCTGGTGTCCCCCTTTCTTCCTCATCGCACACTTAAGATAACGCAGAGACTGAGTTTGTGGGGGCGCCTATGGTGCGAATAATGACGAAATAAGGGTTACATCTTTGGTGCTGTGACTCGGATGGCTGGTTTCTACGCGACTGGAATCAGCTCTCTGGCCATGAAGCAGTGTTATTGAAAAGCAGTATATCCTTTTTGCCAGTTTCAAAGTGAATGTGTTTGAATGGAACTGAATCAATAGCTTTTGAAGACTTACTGTGTTTTGAGCCTTTAATATTGTGGTATTTGAATATTGATAGTTTGCTGTGATTGACAAACAGTTGCATTTCTGATTTTTGAAACTATATTACTATATTTTGTTGTTTCTGACAAATATTTAAGTTGTGTAATGAAGTTTTTTTTCTTTGCTTCTTTCTAATCTCAGAAGGTTTTTTAGAAAAGAGAAACAAAAAACAAGAAAGACACATTCACATACTACAATAAAAACGCTAAATACATTCTACTGTATACTCACATAATTACTACAAACGCTATACAAAATAAACTGTAATTCAAAGTACACTACCGAAACACTGTTGCACAGGCAAGAAGAATAATAAAAGATGTGGAAAAAATGCAGCGCTCTCATGAAGACACTCCTCGTCGACCACCACCCGTCCCCCATCCATGCTAAGGCAGCCTTTCCAGGCCACTCTGTGGTTACCAGCAGACAATGACAAACTTCCACAGTATGAACTAAGCATTTCTGCTGACATGAATAAAGAATGTGTGACCCAGCCAGATGACAAGCTACCTCTACAAAAGTCTGTAAGGCCAAAGACCACCCAGCTAATGACATATACACAGTCTGTGCCACCATCAGTAGAGATTTGGCCTCAAATGGGCACCCCTCCCCTCTCCCCTGCACCATCAGCACTCACTCCATGTACAAGAGTCCATGTACAATGGACTGCCAACTGACATGTCCACCCCTCCCACTGACTCACACCCACCTCCAGCAGCCACTGTATCTTGCAACACCCACCTACCTATTTATTCAGCCCTAATTCATGCCCTGCTACTAACCTCCTTTGATGGGCTGCCAACTGCCATGAATGCATCTCCACCTACCCTCCACCTATCTGCTGTTTCACCCCATACCATCCTGCCAGTCAAGCTCCCCATCCTCCCCCTATGGTATGCCAGTGCCCATGTACACCTTTCCATCTGGCATACACCTGCCTCCAACATCCACTGTCTCATCTGAAACCAAAACTCCTCATAGCCCGCCTCTAAGCTCTGTCTGTTTCCATTAATGATCAACAACACCCTGCCTATTCAAACCATGTCACTTTGTCAACTTCCACAACTCATTTACATTTACGGCATTTGGCAGACAACCTTATCCAGAGCAACTTACATTTATCTCATTTTATACAACTGAGCAGTTGAGGGTTAAGGGCTCAAGGGCTCAGCAGTGGCAGCTTGGTGGTGCTGGGGATTGAACTCATGACCTTCCAATCAGTAGACCACTGAGCTACCACTGCCCTACAACTCCTGTGTATGCTCCAATGGCAGTGTACCCTGGTCCACATACATCTGCGTCAACCCAGCTTTACACAGACACTTCAGTGGTGATCCAGACTGTAAGGTACTCATTGATGACTGGATTGGTTATATGCAGTATCTCCTTGATGCTGTTGGGATGCCTACAAATCTGTGCTTTGCAACAGTAGTGTGACACTTGAATGTTGAAGCCAGAAAGCTGGTACTTAATCTTCCTCCTCATGAGTAGATTCCAGGAAGAGCTTTTGAGGAACTGCAATCTGAATATAGTGACATGCAGACATCTCTAGACAGACTGGCTGAATTCTACGAGAGATGCCAGCATCCTGGTGAATCAGCGTGCTCATATGCCGTAGCTCTGGAAGCCACCTTACATTCAGTAGAAGAGGCACAGTATGGGGGCCAATCTTTTCAAGACAGAAATGGCAAACTGACTCATCAGTGAGAGGGCTCAATGATGAAGAGGTTTACCAGAGAATTGCTCTAATGAAGCCAAAGCTTCATTTTTTTTTGTGAACTCCAAGCGGAGCTCTGTAGCCTAGCTTGAGAGACAAAGAATTTTCAGGCACAACCAAAGTCTAAAAAGACATACAACCAAGTACAGATTACAAATGCAAGCTGTCAACAAAGTGGACAAAGCCTGAGAACAGTGAAAGGAAACAGGCAAAACACAGATCTGGCAGAACTCACAGCCTTGGTTAAGAAACTGGTCAGGAATCAGGAGGATCAGGTCTACAGGCTCACCAAGCTGGAGGCTACAGTTGGAATCCCACCAAACATTGCATTTCTGCAAGGTCAGAGACCACAATGTTTCATGTTATGAAAATGCAGTCCGACGCGTAGTGTGCTATTACTGCGGTAAACCTGGGCCGTATCAGAGATACAGGAAGCTGGAGTTATTCATCCAAGCAAAAGCCCATATGCATCTCCCATTATTGTTGTGACAAAAAGTTGGCTCACTGAGGATCTGTGTGAACTGCAGAAAGCTAAATTCCTGCAGTACCAGAGATGCTTTCCCTCTATCAAGAAGAGAGGATGCATTGGAGGAGCACCTTGAGTGGCTGCAATTGGTGTTTGACCAGCTCCACCAACATGGTTTGATGCTAAAACCTCAAAAGTGCAGTCTACTGAAAGGAAATGCAGTACCTGGGCCATGTGGTGTCTTCAGAGGGTATACAGACTGACCCAGAGAAAATAAGCAAAGTTAAAGACTGGAAACAGCCATCAAATGCAAAGGAATTGCTAAGGTTCTTTGGCTTCTCTGGGTACTACCGGTAATTCACTGAAGGATATGCAACATTGGCTGCACCCCTGTAGATCTCTGGATCACCCTTGATCTCTGGAGGTCCTAGGAGGAAGGAAAGAGGAGCAAAAGGAACATCTGTACCTGCAAAACCATTTAAGTGGTTGGATGAATGTGAGACAGCATTTGAAACCCTGAAACAGAGCCTCTCAACTTCTCCAATATTGGCTTACCCCAGCTACAGGATGCATCCAGGGAGAGTCTTGGGGCAGTCATTGAGCAAACTCAAGAAGGTGTTGAATGAGTGATTGCCTATGCAAGCCAGGGCCTGAGTCCACCTGAAACCAGCTATTTAGCACACAAGTTAAAGCTTTTGGCTCAAAAATGGATTGTTTCCAAGAAATCTATGGTCACTGTTCTGACTGATATCAACCCACTGAAGTATGTGATGAGCACAGCCAAATTGGATGCTACAGGCCAGTGGTGGGTGTCATAGATTGCAATATTTGACTTTGTCATTTAGTATAGGCAAGGTAAATGTAACTTTAATGCTGATGCACTGTCCAGATAAGAATGTCCAGATAAGTCAGACAAGCCCGTCAGTCTTGCCCACAGCGGACCTCCTCCCCTCAGTGAGACCATGGCGCATGTGAGTACAGTGAATATGTCCAGACCCTTTGTGAGTGCTTTGACATACGTTTATGATCAGGCAAACAGAATTTCAAGGCTAAAAATCTCCAGAAAAAACACTATGACCACAAAGCAAAAAGTCATTCCAACCTGGTGACAGGGTGATGCTGAAAGTGTGCCATGTTGAGGGAAAAAGGAAGCTGGCTGATCAGTGGGAGCCATGTCCATATGTAGTGGTGAAGAAGCAACCAGGAATTCCAGTGTATGTGGTCCGTTCAGAAGATGGAGACCTGGACAGAGTTGTCCACCGCAATCTTTTCCCTAGCTACCCAAAAGCTTTTCCCTGTTCAATCCAAGCAGCCAACCCCAAAGGAGCCTGATGTGGAAGAAGTCTGTGAAGTAGAGTCTAGTGCTTCTGATGGAGAAGAGGAGGACTTAGGGACCACAGATGGTGGAGTAAGTGCTGGCATAACACAATGTTGCAGTCTGGAACCGCCTGATGATTTGGGAGAAGAAATCATGTTTTGATGAGAAACTAAATATTTTCATTGAACTTACATTTGATTGACCACATATTCCCTTTTTTCAGTGTACAGACATACAAAAATTCACAAGTATTGTAAATGTAAATGGTGAATGCAAAAGTAGATAGCACCTGTAGCACTAGCTAGTCAGGTAGTCAGCTTATCTACCGTTAATGTGCCATGTACCCACTTCTCTACTTCTGTAAGTGCAGAATTTCATAGCAGAGACTAATTTGTGGAATTAAAGGTTGTACTGATGACATTTAACATTTAGATTTATATTGAAGATTTACATTTGAGATTTAGATTTAAGAATTATAATTTTAATAATAAATGTAAATGAAAATCTTTATACACACACACACTGACAATTAAATGTTTCTACATTTAAAAAAATAAAAAATAAAAAAATACTATAAAGAGCAGTAAACAGTAATAAATGAAACAAAGTCAATATTTGGTGTGATGATCCTTCGCTTAAAAAAAATAGTAGTCTCAGGTACAATTTGTGCAGTTTTATAAGAAAATTAGCTGTAAGTTTTAGTGAGCATCTTGCAGAACCAGCCACAGTTCTTCTGGAGACTTTGACTGTCACACTTGCTTCTTATTTTTGCAGCAAAACCCAGCAGCCTTCATTATGTATTTTTGTCTGAAAAGTGGTCTCTTATGTAATATGCTGCTTAACATTTTTCTGTAACATTTAATTTAATATATATATATACAGTACTGTGCAAAAGTCTTAGGCACCCTATTTTTTTTTAGTACAAACTTTGTTATAGATTTTTATTTTATGACTTCTACATTATTGATTCAGTACAAAAACATTTTAGATTTCCAAACATTAGTTTTCCAGCACAAAATTAAATGTTACAGAAAAATGTTAAGCAGCATATTACATAAGAGACCACTTTTCAGACAAAAATACATAATGAAGGCTGCTGGGTTTTGCTGCAAAAATAAGAAGCAAGTGTGACAGTCAAAGTCTCCAGAAGAACTGTGGCTGGTTCTGCAAGATGCTCACTAAAACTTACAGCTAATTTTTTGGAGTTATTCATCCAAGCAAAAGCCCATATGCATCTCCCATTATTGTTGTGACAAAAAGTTGGCTCACTGAGGATCTGTGTGAACTGCAGAAAGCTAAATTCCTGCAGTACCAGAGATGCTTTCCCTCTATCAAGAAGAGAGGATGCATTGGAGGAGCATATATATATATATATAATAAATCTAAACCCATCCATTTTCAAAACCACTTATCCTACACAGGGTCATGGGGTAGCCTAGAGCCTATCCCAGGTGATTCGGGGCACAAGGTAGGGGACATCCTGGATCCATATCATTTTGCACAATCTCACACTCACACACTATGGACAATTTGGAAATGCCAATCAGCCTACAACACATGTCTCTGAACTGGGGTAGGAAACCGGAGCCCCCAAAGCACGGGGAGAGCATCAAACTTCATCCACAGAGGACAGAGGGGGGATTTGAAGCCCCAACCCTGGAGGTGCGAGGCAACAGGGCTAACCACTAAGCTATTGTAAATATAGACATTAAATGTAAATGTTCAATGTAAACATAAATGTATAACTTAAATGTTTTGTTCATATGATAATAGACCCCGCCCTCTCGGAGTGTGCTTCACTGAGAAAACATTGCGGCAGTAGGGTTGCACCATACTCTGGTAGATTAGGAATAATGTATCTGGTGTAAAGAGCAAGTCCATGGATGGTAGTGTTATTTGTTTTTGCTATGAAATTACAGACATACAGAAGTAGAGAAATAGGAACACATCGCATTAGGGTAGCGAAGCTGGCTACCTGACTAGCTAGTGCTATGGCTGCTACCTACTTTTACATTTACCTTCTTCTGTATTTTTGTACATCTATACAGTGAAAAAAGTGATTTCATTGCTTATACTAAGTGTAATTTAAACGAATATGCAATCTACTATTTTGAATTATGTGGAGTGAATGTGGTCAATTAACATAGTATTAATGTGATCTAATTACATTATGAATAATTGGCAGGTTGTTTCCACTGAAAGGAACATGATCATGTGGTATGGTCAGGTAGGGTAGTGAGTAGCATCACTGCCTCATAGCTTGAGGGTCCCTGAGTTGATCCTCAGATAGGTGAGCGTATGCCAAATTTGTTCCAGGACTTCAAATCATGTTGGCTGTATGAAAAGAGACTGTGTACATGCAACTCAGTTTGTTCACTTAGAGCCAATGTACACATTTGAATCAAGTAAATTCAATTAATTTTTTTCAGTGTAATTTCACAGCAGAGACTAATTTCAGGATTTACCAGTTTTAGTGATGACATTGCAGTCATAAACGAGTGTCCTGAATCAATCTTTGCAATATATATGTGAAACAGAAATGATCATCTGTTCAGGATCACTATATTATCCACAACAGTATAGTTGCAGATTTCTGAGTCTCCTTCTCAAGTGATGGGAACTAATTTCGAAATTGAATAGCACTGACAAACATACAGCTAGATAGATAGAGCTGGATAGAATGATAGATGGATGTACTTTATTGATCCACAAGAGGACATTTGGGAAAAACAAAATTAAACTCCACTCACAGG